TGGTTTAATGATTTAATTTCAGATGTTTGGAAAAAACCTGCTTTGCCTTTTGTTATGCATGAAGACAATAAAGCAGCCATTGAAATATCTAGATCCGATGCCATTGGACAAAGATCCAGGCATATAGATATAAAATTTAAGCATGTGAGACAATTGTCTCAAGATGGATTTATCAAAGCAGTGCATTGTGATACCTCTGAACAATTAGCAGACATATTGACGAAGCCTTTACCTTCTAAACAGCACAAATACTTAACTTCCAAATTGTATGTCTTATATTGTCCTGAATCTGAATGTAATTGGTGTTGTATAGCGAACCGGCATTTAGAGGGGGATTTGTCAGATGTAAATGCCTTATTCCCTAATGTGTAAATAATGTATATATGGGATATCAGGGGTTAACTTATTCTTTGACTCTTAATGTATTCGTAATTCACCACTCCCACTCTTGGCTCCACCCTTTGTATATATAAGGAGCCACCTTCACCATTTTCTTTGCTTCTATCTGTGAATATTCAGTGAATATAGAATGCCTATTATAATTAAAGAGAAATATATTTAAACCTTAACTCTTATTATTATTATTGAGTCTGATCCTGAAAATATTGCAACAGGCAGGTCTACCAGACAGGCGCTGCAAAAATCCAGATGACCACAAGCTGGCATCAAATAAAGCTTTCTATACTTTTCTGCCATCTATTACCATGTTTACCCATGTTTAAGGGACACGGTGGCTTAGTGGCTAAGACGCTGAGCTTGTCGATTGAAAGGTCGGCAGTTCAGCAGTTCGAATCCCTAGTGCCGTGTAATGGGGTGAGCTCCCGTTACTTGTCCCCGCTTCTGCCAACCTAGCAGTTCGAAAGCACATAAAAATGCAAGTAGAAAAATAGGGATCACCTTTGGTGGGAAGGTAACTGCGTTCTGTGCGCCTTTGGCATTTAGTCATGCCGGCCAAATGACCACGGAGACGTCTTTGGACAGTGCTGGCTCTTTGGCTTTGAAACGCCCCCTAGAATCGGGAACAACTAGCACATATGTGTGACGGGAATCTTTACCTTTACCTATTCTTCATCTCATGGAAGAATCTCAGATGAGCTTCTGACAAGAATTTTAAAACCGTTAACAGCAATGAGAAATTCTTGGACTCTGGAGTCTCAGCTTTGTCCCAGTATGTGGCCTTGGCTGATGAAATCTATAGTCCAGCAACTTTCAGAGAAGCCATCTCTTTAAAAAAATGGCATTTAACAATAGACATATTTCAGATCTTAGTAAAATTTACTATTCCCTTGACACCAGAAGATATAAGCTGGATCACCATTAGGATTCACTTAGTCTAAATAAACATGAATTACGGAAGACTGGTTTATTATCTGGTAGAAATACAGTCAACTCTCCGATGCTGCTACATTCAAGATCTGAAAGGCTTTGACTGAAAAGATATATGGTTCTTCGTTGGCTTCAAAACAGCTGATCAATTATTAATTTGCTTCCAATTCAGAATTGCACACTAAATTTATCCCCCATGGCTTCATTCCAGGCAGTAAACTTTGGATTAATTTATATTTAACTTTCTGGAATGAAAAATAACAGCATAACTGAGTTCTATGCTATGAAACAAAAATGTAGGAAATTAGGAATTCCTTCATCCAGCAGGTACGATTGATTTTCATTTCTTAGGTGCACAAGAACTTTTGGTCCCCGGATTAATTGCTGAATGGCAGTTCCCAATTCAGTCAATACCAAGGAATACTAGGAATAGTAAATAATATTACTGACTACTAGTAACTGAATGGAGGCCACTACTTCTACATTCCTGTCTAGGCCTTTCCTTTGGCCTAACCATGGCACAAATGTATCTGGGAACTTCTCTTTCGTCATGCTTCAGACATCTCATTCCCAACCCTGAATCAGCTTAACATTGTCCTTATTTAATATTTTGATCTATCTACTCTTTTATCCCAAAACAATTGTATTTGGGGATACAATGTGACATGCTTCGTTGACAAACCGTTCTGTTGTTGGCAGAGTCAGGTGGCCCAAGAGGGCTCAGCCCATGTCAGCCTTGCCAGGTGGATCGGACAGGAAACATGAGCAGATAAACTAACCCGACTTATTGTAAGACTATGTAGGACATTAGCACCCACCCCTCTCTTAGAAAAATGTAATATTCTAGGAAATATTAAAAAGGCAGAATATTATATTTCCCTGGATGAGAAATGGAGAAACATGTTTTTTAGGCACTTAAGTGATAAAGAGATAGCTAGGTCTATTCATAAGCAAATGACCTCACCCAAGATCCAACAAAGGTAGGATTAGCCCTCTACCAGGGGTGAAATTCAAAATTTTCCCCAACCGGTTCTATGGGCATGGCTTGGTGGCGTGGCAGGGGAAGGATACTGCAAAATCCCCATTCCCTCCCCACTCTTGGGGGAAGGATATTGCAAAATCTCCATTCCTACCCCGCTCTGGGGCCAGCCAGAGGTGGTATTTGCCGGTTCTCCGAACTACTCAAAATTTCTGCTACCGGTTCTCCAGAACCTGTTTGAACCTGCTGGATTTCACCCCTGCCCTCTACCCATCTAGCAACAGAACTCACCACATGGCACCTGGGGAGATTGCATCACCCAGCAAGGCTCAACCAAGCCTGGGAGTCAAAAAGACAACCTACAAAGTTACCCCTGCATGGCCCCATGGGAGTCTGAGAACCAATCGGAATATAAGCTCAAATTCAAAAGCCCAGAGAGGGTATAAAACTCAGGCACTCTCAGCATCTCTGCCCCTTTTTCTTCTTCACCCAACATCATCAAGGCATGTGATCCTGTCCACCATTAAAAACACCATCTTTCCAAGCAGTCTCCATGTTTCCAGTGTCTTTTTCCCCACTTGGAACTGAACCCAGATGGACATTTCTTCCAACAATCTTTAAGGAAAAACAAAGTCCAGTTGCCTTTTGAAAAAGCACCTTTGTGGGTCTCCTGCCTCTCCTTGACTGCTAATAAATTAAGGGAGTCTCTCTACTGAGCCTCTTGTCTTGCCCTACCCGTTATAAAGCTGGGGAATATGCTGTTTCTTATCTACCCATTCCCTAGGCAGCATCTCTTTGTCCCATCTCCCAAGGTCTTTCCCACATACCATTGCAGCCCAGCAATTTTTCTGTTTTAGCTGGCATGAGCGTGCCCTTTGCCTTCTGGCCCTGGGCACCTGTGCAGCAGGAGGGTCTGGTTCCTTAAAAGCAGCCTTTCTCATCCATCTGGCAAGTCTCCAGGCTGATCCCAGGCTCAGAGTCTGGATCAACATGAACGACAGCTAACCCGTGGTGACAGGGAACTGCACAGAGAATAAGTTGGTTTTCTTGTTGCCTCTTTATGGCACAGCACTTCCTGACCCCGTCAGCCTTTGTTTGATCTGCTTTTGACCTAGGTTTTAGTGCACTTTCAGAAAAGTCTTAAACCCCTGCTTTAAAATAACGTAAAAAACAATTGAGAAACATGAGTCAGCAGTTGCACGGTGAATTAGAAGTTGGCTGTTCCGTTGCGTCAAGCAACCATGTCACCCTTGACAGGTGTTAGGACATTCTTCAGCATACGCTCAACCCTTGTCTAAAAGTGCAATAGATCCTTGTTCTGAAGCAGGCTGAATGCAAACTTAGTGGTCTTTCAGAAGAACCATAAACCCATCTCCCACGTAGCCCATAAAAGTCCAAGACAGGAGCTGGGAGACCATGTGAAATAAGATTTCTCCTGTTTCAACATATAAGCCTCCTCACACCTGTCAGCTGTTTTCGGGGATGGCCAACAGGTGCTGGTAGCTCAGTTTCATGCTTACTATCGCTCCTAGCAGTGCAATAAGTTGCCAGGGCTGGGAGAGGCAGCAGAAGTCAGGAGAGATGGATATCTACCTGCCAGGAGCCCAGTCCTATGTCTTTGATGTAAAGATTCAGCCAAGATCTCCAATTCTCAAGTGGAGAAAAAGAATGATCCAAGGTCTAAAATGAAGGAAAAAAATTAATTCCAAAGCTTAAATTCCAAAGAATTTAAACTCTAAAATAGATAGGTAGAGATGGGAATATATGGCTTGTTTATTTTTTCTTTAATAGGATCTCCTGGGTATTATTATTTTCTGTTCACAACAATGTGAGTTAATAGCTACCAGTTCTTTAGCTGGTCTCCTTCTCCTCCTCCTCTTCTTCTTCTTCTTCTTCTTCTTCTTCTTCTTCTTCTTCTTCTTCTTCTTCTTCTTCTTCTTCTTCTTCTTCTTCTCTTCTTCTTCCCCCCCTCCTCCTCTTCCTCCTCCTCCTCTTCTTCTTCTTCCTCCTCCTCTTCCTCTTCCTCCTTCTTCATCCTACCGTGTTTCCTCAAAAATAAGACCCTGTCTTATATTTTTTTGAACCTTGAAATAAGCGCTTGGTCTTATTGCCATGTGCTCAAAAGCCCAATTGGGGTTATTATCAGGAAATGTCTTATTTTGTGGAAAACAGGGTATTTTCCCCACAACAACCCTGTTGGGCCAAAAGAGAATGACTAGCCCAAAATCACCCAGCTGGCTTTCATGCCTCTGACTTCTTTTTCTGCAATAAAGCAACTTATCTGGCTTTGCCACATCCTTGAAACTTCTGCTGTAGGCAAGTTTCTAATTATTGAGTTCAGTATTTGGGGTGTCAAAAGTTATTGCCATACCTAGGTAAGAAGTGGAGCAATTTCTACCACCCCCTAGCGATGGGACTGCATAGTCAGGCAGGAGAATTGTTGGGCTTACCTACCTAAAACCAAAAACAATTCCTTTTCCAAGATAACCCTTACATATCCCTCTTTGGCAAGATTTTTAAGAATGGTGCAGGTATAGGAATTCCAGCAACTAAACTGAATTTCCTATCTGCATCAACATTTACCCAACATACATTACAGGCAGGGGTGGGTTCTAAATTTTTTTACTACCGGTTCTGTGGGTGTGGCTTATTTTGTGGGTGTGGCTTGATGGTCATGTGACAATTCTTTAGAATTTAGCAGACGTACTGGTCTACCAGGCTTTTAACTGCTTGCAGAGCTGTACCGGTCTACCCATTTGGCGGCCCTTTGAAGCCCTGCGGCAAGAGTTTAAACAGTTTTTTTTCTTTCTAGACATCAGCTGGGACTCGGGAGGCAGTGAATAGATTGGGGGCGGGGCCAAATAAAAGGTAAGAATAACGCGGGTGGGGCGGGAGGGCCCAGCTCCCGAACAAAGAGAACCGGTTTGGTGACGTCATATCGTCACCGCTACCAGCTCGTCCGAACCGGGCTGAACCGGGCCGAACCCACCACTGATTACAGGTTGTTCTCAACTTAAAACCATTCATGTAGCAACTGTTCGAAGTAACAACAGCAATGGGGGGGAAATGACTTATGACTGGTCTTCACACTTAAAACTGACATCACATCCCCACAGTCACACAATCAAAATTTTGGGGACTCGGAAACATGCAGATATATATGATAGCTACAGGATCCTGGAGTCATGTGATTGCCATTTGTGACGTTCCCAGCTGGCCTCCACCAAGCAGTCAATAGGGAAAGCTGGATTCACTTAATGACAGTGTGATTCACTTAGCAACTGCAGTGATTTGCTTAACCACCATGGCAAAAAAAATTGTAAAATTTGATGCAAGTCACTTGACAACTGTCTTGCTTAGTAAAGTCTGGCCTTAATTGCGGTTGTCAGTCAATGACTACCTGTATGGCAAAATCTTTCTTGTTTTGTTTCAATAGACTAGACTAGACTAGACTAGACTAGACTAGACTAGACTAGACTAGAGTAGAGTAGAGTAGAGTAGAGTAGAGTAGAGTAGAGTAGAGTAGAGTAGAGTAGAGTAGAATTCTTTATTGGCCAAGTGTGATTGGACACCCAAGGAATTTGTCTTTGGTTCATACGCTCTCAGTGTACATAAAAAGAAGATACATTCGTCAAGAATCATAAGGCACAGCACTTAATGATAGTCATAGGGTACAAATAAACAATCAAATCATACTAGGAAACAATTAATATAAATTGTAAGGATACAGCAATAAATTACAGTCATACAGTCATAAGTGGGAGGAGATGGGTGATAGGAATGATGAGAAGATTAATAGTAATGCAGATTTAGTGAATAGTTTGACAGTGTTGAGGGAATTATTTGTTTAGCAGAGTGATGGCGTTCAGGAAAAAACTGCCCTTGTGTCTAGTTGTTCTGGTGTGCAGTGCTCTATAGCATCATTTTGAGGGTAGGAGTTGAAACAATTTATGTCCAGGATGCGAGGAGTCTGTAAATATTTTCACAGCTCTCTTTTTGACTCGCGCAGTATACGGGTTCTCAATGGAAGGCAAGTTGGTAGTAATTGTTTTTTCTGCAGTTCTAATTATCCTCTGAAGTCTGTGTCTGTCTTGTTGGGTTGCAGAGCCAAACCAGACAGTTATAGAGGTGCAGATGACAGACTCAATAATTCCTCTGTAGAACTGGATCAGCAGCTCCTTGGGCAGTTTGAGCTTTCTGAGTTGGTGCGTAAAGAACATTCTGTGTTGTGCTTTTTTGATGACATTTTTGATGTTAGGTGTCCATTTTAGATCTTGAGATATGGTAGAACCTAGAAATTTGAAGGTCTCTACTGTTGATACTGTGTTGTCTAGTATTATAAGAGGTGGAAGTATGGAAGGGTTTCTCCTAAAGTCTGCCACCATTTCTACAGTTTTGAATGTGTTCAGTTCCAGTTTAATGTCTCTCTATAAACCAGCAGTCATTAAAAAACCATCCCTGTATCCATCATCAGCTGGAGAACTGACCACTACAAAATCCCTTTTGTTTCACCAAACAGCCTCTGCTACTCCATTCATCAACTGCCTTGGCACCAGGTTTTGACATATGGCTAAACCCACCAGCTCTCTGTTAAAATGTGCTTCCTTTCCCAAGGTTAGCCTATGGGAATCAGGCAAAGGGAATACTGTAGTTCACACGGTGGCTCAGTGGCTAAGATGCTGAGCTTGTCTATCGAAAGGAATTTCATCTAGGGCTCCTATTGCTATTGGTAGTATCTTTGCTTTCTTTTGCCACAGCCTTTCTACTTTTATTTGCATCTCTTTATATTTTGTGTATATAAGAGACACGGTGGCTCAGTGGCTAAGACCCTGAGCTTGTCGATCGAAAGGTCGGCAGTTCAGCGGTTCGAATCTCTAGTGCCGTGTAACGGGGTGAGCTCCCATTACTTGTCCCCACTTCTGCCAACCTAGCAGTTCGAAAGCACGTAAAAAATGCAAGTAGAAAAATAGGGACCATCTTTGGTGGGAAGGTAACAGCGTTCCGTGCGCCTTTGGCATTTAGTCATGCCGGCCATATGACCATGGAGATGTCTTTGGACAGCACTGGCTCTTTGGCTTTGTAATGGAGATGAGCACTGCCCCCTAGAGTCGGGAATGACTAGCACATATGTGTGAGGGGAATCTTTACCTAATAAAAGAGAATATCTGTAGTTCAGATTGAACTATGGAGTCCTTGGTGCTCTCTGAGTGGGTTTGTTTGCTTGTGGACATTTCATTACCCATCTTAGCAAGCAAACAACTAAGCTCAGAGAGCACCAAGGACTCCAAAGGGAATAATGGTCTGTTTTACATAATCCTTAAAAGTAGAAAGCCCCTCATTGATCTGCAGATAGCATTAAAATCTATTTTAATTATTCCTCCATTGGGAAAAGGAGAATCACTCCATTGGTTTTTATTAAGAAAGAGGCACTAAAGCACACTGATCCAATCCATAGAAATCAATAGTACACGCTTCTAAATAAAATCCCTTAACCGAAGGCATAACGTAAAAGATTATGCTCATCAAATTTGGGGGCTAAGTGTCATATATCTCAATCACAGATTCCCAAATTATAGGTCTGTGGTTATTGAATCAACTGCCCAAAAAAAGAAGTTCCAATATTCTCAGATACGTTATCGTTTTCACTTGTTAAATATATTTTAAAAAATGATCATTGTCATAAATGTAACCAATCTAAATTCCTTCTCCAGGACATGAGGAAACGGATTTTGATAACGGCCAGCATGGAGAACCCTCTACCAGGAGAACTCTATCTGGCATTCAAAGCAACAGGGACATATGGAAATGAAGGTGTCGCATGTCTTTTGATACCAGTTTAATTTAGTTCAATATGGACAGTGTCCCGCTGCTGCAACCACATTCAAGACTGCATGCATTCTTTATAAAAAATACCATGCAAAGCACATATTGAGCTTTTAAGCCTATTCCTTCTCCAGTTAATGGACAAGATCTCTAATATATAGGTGGCAGAGATCGTCAGCACATTGCATGAATAATGCATTCAGTTTATGGGCTCCGACCGGGGACTTCAGTAAGCATACAGGTGCTTATGCACAGATATCAAAGTTTTTGAGAAGTCAACATTCTTAGCTGTTTGCAATCAATAAACAATGCCATCCCCATGCTATGATTAGAGTCACAGAAGGACCGAAGAGCATTAGCACAATCGACTAATGTCAGCCCAGGGGTGCTATTCAGCAGGTTCTGACAGATTCTGGAGAACTGGTAGCGGAAATTTTGAGCAGTTCGGAGAGCCTGCAAATGCCACCTCTGGCTGGCCCCAGAGTGGGATGGGAATGGAGATTTTGCAGTATCTTTCCCCCAGGAGTGGGGTGGGAATGGAGATTTTGCAGTATCCCGCTGCCACGCCCACCAAGCTACACTACACCCATCAAGCCACGCCCACAGAACCGGTAGTAAAAAAAATTGAATTCCATCACTGTGTCAGCCATGACGTTATGCTCGTTCAGCTACACTAAACCCCATTCTTGGTTGAATAATTGGCTGAGTTCTTGCACCCCATGAGGCCATAAAATAAGAAGCAGCCATGTTTTTGTATTTAATATTGGGGGACAGGATAGGGCAGGGGTAGGAGTCAGTATTGTGGGGTTTTTTTCTCTTTTGTAGGAGACATATTACTTCAAAGTGTGGGTGGTATGGTGGCCTAGAGGTGGAGCTCTCGCCTCACAATCAGGAGGCTGTGAGTTTGATCCTAGGTAGGGGCAGATATTTCTCTCTCTGGGCACACTGTGAATATATCTGTTGAATAAAGCTCTGCATTGGCGACAGGAAGGGCATCCGGTCAGTAAACACTCAGCCCCATTCAGTTGCCCAGACTCCACCCCGCAAGGGATTATGAGGAATTAAAAGAGGAGGATGAGGATGATATTACTTCAAAGTGTATTACGTTTATTTTGGGGTTTCCCATTCCAGAATAGAACACCAGAAAGTACCATAAATGATTTATGTTGATTTTGACCAATTGTAAGATAGAATAGCAGCTTTATGAGTCATGAAAATGGGGGACTTCAAGGACCCCACGCGTTCACCCATCCCACTTTAATCAAATTATTAGGCTCACATATTGCATTCAGTCATGATATGGTTTGGTTTTGATTTAGCGGGATGTGTGAATTCTATTATGTTTTATTAAACACTCTGGAGTGATGTATTAATCAAAGGCATTGAAGTATTAATCAAAGGCATTGAATATTACAATTGGTTATACCTTTGGGATGGTGTGTCTTCTAATACAGGGCTTCTTTTTCTCTTGGTTTCATAGACGTCGTCATCCATCCATCTCCTCTAATCATCCAACACCATTCAAATTTGTTGGGTCGCAGTCCCCCAAACTTTTTGATAATATATTATTAACCAATCCCAACACTTCAACCCCAAAATTACAGAAGACTGCTTTGCCCTTCCTAAGAAATCTGTATGAATGCAGAACTCATTAGTGGGAGCTTTGGTAGTACAATGGGCTAAAGCACACTGTTATTAACATCTGCTGCTTGCAATTACTGCAAGTTCAAATCTCACCAGGCTCAAGGTTGACTCAGCCTTCCATCCTTTCAAAGGTAGGTAAAATGAGGACCCAGATTGTGGGGGCGATAAGCTGACTTTGTATAAATATACAAAAGTATGAAGGCTATTGCTTAACGCATTGTAAGCCGCCCTGAGTCTCCGGAGAAGAAATGAAAGCAAAAAACAAAAACAAAAACAAAAAAAACTCTGCCCATCTTTTAAAATACAAGCATGAAGTGTAAATACATACTGGCCAACAATTCTTGGTGTGGAGTGGAGTTGTGGTTTGAAAATGTGAAGATTAAAAAAAAAAGGAAAGCTGTTACTTCTACTTGAGGGAAGGCAAAGTCTAGTATAAAAAACATTAAAAATTCAAAGGGCTGACAAATCACATCAATCAATGAAGTCTTGTGGATGCAAAAAAAAAAAAAAAAGCACATTTGACCCCCAAAAATAGAGCAATAGCACTTAGACTTATATACCGCTTCATATTGCCCCCAACGATCTGGATCCTCATTTTACCAACCTCGGAAGGATGGAAGGCTGAGTCAACTTTGAGCCTGGTGAAATTCAAACTGCTGAACTGCTGGCAATTGGCAGTCAGCAGAAGTAGCCTGCAGTAGGGCACTGCGCCATCATGGCTCATATAAACTATCACCTACTTTTAAATCCTAAATTTCTCTATTCCCAATAAAAGCTGTTAAGATTTTGGTGCCTATCCCATTACAGCAGGGGTATCAAACTCAAGGCCTGGGAGCCAGATGCAGCCCACGGGGTAGTTAGATCTGTCTCGGGGGCCGCTCTAAAAACAGCAAAGGACTGCCCCGCGGTGCCTCTGCCAGTGAAAATGGAGCTCAGGAGGGCCACCCATGACCCTCACAGGTTCTTCATGCCCCCCCCCCACGCCATTTTTGCTGGCAGGGGGTGGCAGGAGGCCGTCATGGCTGAAAACAGAGCTCGGGAGCCCGTTTTCACTGGCAGAGAACTCAGGCCACCAGACACCCCCAACACGAGTGATGTCAAGCTGGCCACACTCACCCTGACCACACCCACCCCAGCCCCCGAGATCAAACACAACCCTGATGCAGCCCTCAATGAAATCGAGTTTGACACCCTTGCATTACAGGATGAAGACAGCCTGTACAAAATTCCATTACACCCGAATAAAAATAAATTCCTGTTGGCAAACCTGATGTCACACTGCATTAAAATCAATCAGCTTCTATTTGTATCATCTTTATCATTCTTCATTAGCCGAACACCTTTTTGTGTCCTCCAGGTAGATTTTTTTTTATCAAACTCCTTCTTTGTGAACAATCCTCCCTTTGTGCAAGTATCAGCTAATCCAAGTATTTTTGCAAGGAACCAGAACTGTTTAGATGAGGTAATACAGTGTATTGCAACAATTTTAAAAGATCTGAGAAAAGAATAAAAGTCTTTCTTCAAGTACAAAGCTCGGTAACAATAGTTGCTGAATTGTTAATTATAGGAGTCGCCATTTTGAACCACCTTTAAATTGTAATTAACAAGGTGAGGGCAGATGTATAATTCCTAAGAGACACTCTTCTAATTAACATCCAGCTCTAATTTTGATATCTGGGTTAAGAGTAATAAGCAAGATCTATCTTAGGGCAATAGGCTAAATCACATCAAGACATAAAGTCTGCAAAATAGGCATAAATCAGTGGTGGGATTCAAATTTTTTTTACTACCGGTTCTGTGGGCGTGGCCAAGGTGTGTGACAGGCAGCAGTCAGCCTCCTGCTGAGAGCAAAAACGGGCCGCAGGGGGGGAAACACGCCGCCCCTGCGCCCCATTTTGGGCCTAGGAGGCCTCCCTGAAGCCTCCTGTGAGTCAAAATGGGGTGTGTGGGGACTTCTGGAAGGGGCGGGGCAGGAAGAGGCGGGGCCAGTCAGAAATTTAACTACCGGTTTGCCCGAACCAGCTGAATTCCACCACTGGGCATCATACATTTTGTGCTGCAGAATTTAACATTTTGTGCAAAAGATTCTTTTCAATTACACTGCCACAACCATGCACCTAATTCTAAAAACGACCGCTTCAAAAGCTTAAAGCCAGCCTGCTCGAAAATATTGAAACAAATGGAACAAACATTTGTTTCAATACACTCATACATGCAACCGTCACTGCTGGCTTCATTATAGGGGACACTTTCTGGAGTTTGGAGCCCCTTTGAAAAGACAATAAGGATGGGGCGATTCTAATCTGCCACAGGAAGGTCTTTCTCAGAAGTAGGGTCACAACTGAAAAGGTTGTGCTTCTTCTAGGCTTCCAAATACCATGTTTCCCCAAAATAAGACTGGTCTTAGATTATTTTTTGCTCCAAAAGATGCATTATACCTTATTTTCTGGTTAGGTCTTATTTTCAGGGAAACAGGGTAGGATGGAATTTAGAAAAAGGCTTCTCTTGCTGATCAGACTAGCTAGCCAGAAGGGAATAAGACATGACCAATCCTTACAAACACTCAAGCTTTAAATAATAACTGCATCAATTCCATTTAGATTGTATGCTGAGATGAAGGATGAGGCAGGCTAACCCAGCACTCTATGTCCAAAAGGAACGTTGATAACTGAACCCAAGCTGAACATGAGTCAGATGTAGAATACAGCTTCTAAAAGACAAAGACGTTCTTAACTATATTAGCAGAAGCATTGTGTCAAAAAAAAACTAGAGAATCTAAAATTTCATTGTAGCCTCCTGTTGACAGGCTGAGGCTGATGGATGTACAGTTGTTGGTTCTAAATGTTAAAGATGGCTAAAAGCAGGACTTTCATTACAAGAAGTGGCCAGAATAGTGTATGGGATGGAGGCATAAATCTAAATTACGTAACGAACACTGGAAAGAGCTGGATGTGTTCCATCTGGAAGATAAAAGGAGATCATAATAATAATCTTAAACTAGCTGAAGGGCTCTTACCCAGATAATTAAAACAGGATACGTTTCTTAGTGGCCCAAGAACTGGAACCAAGCATAACACGTTTGGAGAAACTTCTTAAGGATCCAAATTACTGAACCATGAAACAAACAGATTTTTTTTTCTTTTTGCTGGAATTAAATCAAATGTTTCTCTGGGTGTGTACTGTCTTGGAATTCTGGAGTTTCAGTGGAGAAACAGCCCAGAAAAGTAGCTTTGCCTCCAGTGTTAAAAATTATCCATTCAATAAGAGGCTGGAAGATGAAGCATCCAAAACTCCAACTACATTTTTTTTTCATCTATTTTACAGTTCAGGAAGATGATAAGATTGATGATTCAGGTAGTCCTTGACTACAATCATTTGTTTATAGATCCTTGAAGTTACAACAGCACTGTAAAAAAATGACTTAGGCAGGTCATCACACTTATGTCGCAGCTTCTCCAG